GCGGGTTTCAGTGGGCCCGACGGAGCCGGAGAGGGGACTCGACGCCCTGGGGCGATGGCCAGTTGGAGATGTGGAAGGGTTTCAGCCCCAGAGCTGTTGAAATATTTCATCTTATGCCCATGAAACGTAAAAAACCGTGAAGCAAGATGGGGCTCCTGGGGAAGCATCTCTTCTGCGTTGGGCTGTGACAGCATATTCCCCCTGGCTCGAGAAGAAAGGGCGATGACTCACGTGGGTGACGCAGGGCGCAGTAAGGAGTGCCCCTGCCCCAGGCACCCCACGGGCAGGGCAGGGCAGCGCTGTGACAACAACGCAGGTCCCCGCGGGCGGGCAGACACACGGAAGGCAAACCCCCACGCCCCGGCCCTCCTCCCGGGGCAGCCTGGCCCTCGGAAAGAGGGCCCAGGGCCACCCTGGGGAAGGCAGCGCAGCTCCGTCGCTAACAGAAAGGAAACATCTTGCACCGGTGCTGTAATGGCCCACAGGAGCACGCTTATTTTGGGGGGCTGGAGAAGAGGTGATGGCAAGCGTGGAGAGAAAAAAACCCCCACAACAAAACAGAGACTCGTAGTAGTAAGCGCAGACCTGAAATTCCACTCCTGGGGGCTTTACAGAGCTTAAAAAAATACCAAAGGTTAAGAGACAGTGTTTCATTGGTCAGGAGGCACTGTATTTTGTTTTGAGGTTATTTTCCTTGCAAGGGGTAAGTTCTGCTACGAATTGAAAAAAAAAAAAAAGAAGAGGTCTACATTAATGAAAACTGGTTTTATTGTAAACAAAGTATAAAGTACAACATAAGAAATGTGCAAATCTTTAAAGTAGTCACAAAAAGCGTATCTAATACACTATTTTCAAACCGCTCACTTTCCAATATGTGTCCTCAACTTAATATGATAAAATAGAAATAGTGAAAGTTGATGCATTATTTGTCACAAAAGCTAGTTTAAATTCTAGGCTGGTGTCTTTACTGCCTCGTTTTACTTTTCGAATCACAACTTTCTAATTTAATACAATACATAATACACCCATTTTATTTTTAATATAAACCGCCTTTCAAAGAACACCACGATCAAGCAGCCCAAGACCCTTGGTTTCCCTCCTTAGCCCACCCGAGCCGCGTGCAGTCACGTTTCTCTCAGCAGCGCACCGTACCTGTCTGCGGACACGGCAGTGGTGCAGGGCTGCGAGGTGGTGCCAGGGAACCGTAAGCAACACAAAAGCAGAGCCGTTGTACGATGCCCAGGTGCAACCGGCTGCAGTAACCACAAAGCTTGCCAAAGAAGCTGGGGAAACGTTACAAAGCTCCTATGAGGATTCAGGACCATTCCCACCCTCTGGCCACTGGCGCGGCGCCCCGGGATGCCCGTGCCGACCCCCTCGGCGATGGTGCAGGGGGACCAGTCTAAAACCTCCAGGGGGTTTGCCACCAAATCATCGCTTGTGATGGGGCCAGAGAACAGACAGGAGGAAAAGATTCCTACCAAGAAAAGGTAGCAGAAGTAGGAAAACTGATTTAGATTATCTTACGCGGGTGCATTCTGGGCTTTCAAGCCTGCACCCCGTACGTTGCCATCTTCCTAGTCGGAGCAGGGCTGAAGACTGACAACCCAAAGTTAAAATCGGAGTGGGTCTCCCACATCAGTGGCAAACCTCCAGTAACACTTATGCGTGACTGACCTAGAGTACAGATGGGCAATATGCAAGATTCAAACCTGGCACAACGTGTGCTGCTCTGCTCTAGAACCTCCCCTTCCTGTCTCTCCTTACCAGGTCAAAAGACACCCGCTATCCCAGCTAGCCACCGCTTCTCCCAGCAACACTTGTTGTGACCGAGCACAGCCCGCCTTTGTCTCTCCGCCGCGCTGCCACCAGCAGCCGGCGTGGGAGAACCACGGACCAGGAGCAAAAGCCTTTTTTCAGCTGGCACATCCCAGGGACAACAGTTAATTCCACCGTCTCCAGGGCAAGTCCTTTCACTGTGCGGCTGCAGGTGTTGGCGGCACGGCGATGTCGTTTAGCTTGCTCACTTCCATCTGCCAGTTTGGCAACTTCTTAGCCGATAAGTGGCGACGCGCGTGCTTCGTTAAGTGGTCACTCCTCATGAACCGCCGCTCACACATCGGGCAGGCAAACTTCTTCTCCCCGGTATGTGTTCTGCGATGGCGAGATAGTTCGTCAGACCGCGCAAACCTTCTCTCACAGCCTTTCCAACTGCAACTAAACGGCTTTTCACCTAAAAGAAAAAAAGAAAATGACAAAGAAAAACCACCATGAGTACAAACCGAGCCGTAAACACTATTGCCTTGACTAGCAGGATTTGACTTTTTTAAAGAAAAGGTTCTCTTATCACAGTTGAGCCAAAACCTACATAAATATTGATTATTTTTATATACAAGGAATGTGAAAGAATGTTTATATATCACTATTTAAACATGCAGACTTACTATCATGAAGGCTAAGTAGTACAAAGGGTTAACAACTCTCTGGCACTGAATAGTTTGCGACGCTCGACAGCCGGTTTTAGCCCTCAGCCCCCCATGATCGGCAGGCCGTGACGACTTAGCCCGCCCGACACTGCCCTCCGAAATGCAACCTGCACGAACGCTTCATGGAACAGAGCTCTGGCAGCGCGCTGCGAGCCTATGTGAAAATACACGTGACTCCTCCTGCTACTGCGGTTAAGAGCCAAGGCGTGGAGAAGTTACTTTAAAATAAATAGGAATAGCTTGGAGTGGATCCTTCGTGTGGAGAAGCCTCATCAGGCATCATTAGCTCTGGAAAAGGACACTCTACACCGGGCGAGGCCTTGCTTCCGCACTGGCAAGCAGCGTTACTGAACGCCGCCTGGCGCGAAGCAAGCCCAGCACAAACAAACTGCTGAGTCAACTTCCCCTCCGGGAGATTTCCTGTCAGAGATTAGGCGGCACTCTAACGCACGCTGGCAGAAAAAGTATTTCACTGCTGCCCCACAATTTGTTCCATGAGCAAATCCGGTAATCGCCAGAACCGTAACAAGTTGTGTAGGCAGCCACGATTTCCCACACCAATTTTCAACGTCCAGCAACAGCAACCGACCTGTGTGTGTTCTGACGTGAGCCTTCAAATGGGAGCTCTTGAAGTAGGTTTTCCCACACCCTGGGTAGCTGCAGATGTGACTCCTTATCCTTGAAGAATCAGCTGGAGGAGTGTTTTTTGCTGCAGAGGGCACAAAGCCGGGAGCAGGGGCAATGGGAGAGAGTCTCGTGCCGTTCGGACTAATAATGGGAGCCTTCGTGCTCTGCACGACGGGCTGGGGAACAACAAACATTACGGCACCTTTGGGAACTTGGGTGCCCATGAAGACCATGGGTTGGCAGAGAGCTGGCTGCTGGCTGGGCGTGGGGCTGGGCACCACGGCTGTCACAACATTGTTGTTGGTGGGCAGCGGGACCATCTGGCAAATCACGGGCATGGGGGGGGCGCTCTGCGGTTTTTCCTTCCGGTACTGGCAGCTCGCCACTCTCATCACCGCTTGGTGCCACGGCGGAACACGCCGAACGTTCCACTTCGGCATTTTGTTTACTGCTTGACTCCCTCGAGATGCCGTCCTGGTACTTCAGCACACTGGCTGTTCTCACCGGACAGGTTTTGCGATTACAAAGCTGGGCGTCAGCCGTGTGGCGGATAACGCTGGTGGCTTGAGCCTTCAGAGGCCCGGCCTCCCTCCGAGGCGCGGCCAGCGGAGGCTTGGCAGCCTGGACTGGTGACTTGCCAAGCGCTGCAGCGGGATGGACCACCTGCGACATCTCCAAGTCGGAAGGGCTGTACGGGGGGGTCAGGCACTGCGTGGGGGACAGAGACACAGTAAGGAGGGGATGCGTTACCAACACATCGCCTCAACAATCGTTAAAAGCAAGCACGCATGTGCACGAGTCCACAAAACTTACAAATGCTGGTATCGCATTGAAGTCCACGGCTCCAGGAAGCGAAGTCTCGTCACTCTCTTCCGACATATCAGATGCTGGAGTTATAGGTCTCATTTCCACATGTTTTTTGAAGTCTGATTTCCAGTTGCAGCTCATAGAAATAAGGGCTTCTACAGCCTCATAATCGCTTTTTTCAGGAGTATTGTTCCAGAAATACCTAGTCTCTCTCTGCTTCTCAGTTATTATCTCCATTTCTTCCTCCTGTTTTGGTCAGAGGAAAAAAAGTAAACTTTAAACCTGAGGCTAAGTTTGAATATTTTGCAGTTAGCTATAATAAGCTATGGTAAAAACCAAACAAAGCAACCCATGCAAGATAAATACACTTGGTCACGCGGGGAATATGCCTGCTTTTTCCTGCCCTCTTTCTTACTTATTTCATATTTTTATGAAGTTGTTAGTGGGGAAATCTGGCCATCTGGTCAAGATCATGTATTTTCTTGAGACAAAAGAAGTCCCCCCCAAGATCTTAAGCAGCACTTCAAGTTATTCCATATCGCAAAGTGTTGGGTGTAAAAGCTTAACAAAAATTTTCACCATAAAACAAAACAAAAAATCAAACACAACTTCCTCCCCCATCCTACCCTCCTTCCATTTTTGCTTTGCATGCAGCCCTCAGTATTGTGTTTATTTTGACACACGAGAAAGCACCGTGTAGGGGCTGATGCACATTTTCTTCAAAAGGTATTAGCTACTAAAAACGTTCCAGAAAATATTCAAAAGGTCTCTCCCCCCGCACAGATATGCAAGGAAAACCACCAACTTGGAGAACTGAAGTACACACCCGTGTATCCACCCTCTAACGGATCACCTCACGGGCCCGGCCCCCGCAGCGAGCCTCCCGGGGCTGTACGTGCCGCTGCTACCCCTCATGCAGCTCTCCGTGCCTGCAGGGTGGTGCCCGCCGCCGCGGGCGAATTCCCCCCACCCCGACGAGACGGCGGCGGTGGGAAAGCCTCCCTTTCTCCAAGCCGCGCCC